TATTTTTTTAAAAAATTTAAAACTTGATTTGAGAGAGAGAGACTTGTTGCTCCACCCATTTATGCATTCATTGTTTGACTGTTATATGTGCTCTGACTAGGGATCAAAAGCACAACCTTGGTGCATCAGAATGATGTTCTAACCAATTGAGCTAGCCAGCCAGGGTGACGACGCTGGTCATATTTTATTCAGACCTGGTGTAGCCTGGAGTCAGGACACAACACAAGAATCAAGGAGAAGGTCCTGAGTAAGCAGAAGAGCTGGATGTAATTTTTAGAATTTAGTTAAAGAAAAATAAAAGACTCTTGGAAATGGACCTTCAGTACTTTTCATGGAAATTATAGTTATAGTTGCCTCGTTTTCACCATAGCACTTCTTAGTCCCCTTGAATAAGTCCTCCATCCTATGCTAACTACTGCTCCAACCCTGTGGAGGAGACAATGTGACTGTGAATGTTTATGTGTGCAAACAAGGGAGCAGCTATGAGGAAAATTTGGTGAATGTAGACTGCTGTATCTATGATGATTTGTTTGAAGTGTTCTATTTAAAATCTAGCTTAAGAAAGAAAAACACCACATGTACTTTAATTGAAAGTCAGGACTGATGAATTTACTGAATTTTCCCCCAAATATTTTTTTCAATAATTTAGTTATACTGCAAACAGTTTGAGAAAAGCTATTTGTACTTACATTTTAGGAACATCTATGCCCTCTCGAGAAAAGAGTCCAGTATTATGACACCATCTTAAGCATATCCCTGATGAGAGGGAATAAATTCCTTACCGTGTAGCACTGGGGTAGGGCTTACCCAGGTAGTTAAATTCTATGTGTGGAGTATGAATGCAGTGAAATAAGCTTCAAGTTATGGAATTTGGAACAGAGAAGGGAAACAAGGTAATATTTGGGACAAAGATGGGTCTACGAACCAAAGCAAAAGACCTAAATATTAACACATACGCTAAGAGAGGAGTCTTGCCTATGGGAAAGGAGGGAGTTTCTAAAGCCACAAGTCAAATTGGGACAGAAATACCAGAAATACTTAATCTGATTTTTAATACAAAATAAATATTATCCTCCTCCTTTAGTGAAAGCAGTTTAATAGGAGATCAAGCATGGAATTTAATCACTGACATCTGCCAAGGTAGAGAGTCAGGGATAAAGATCAACAATTGCCCTCTAATCTCAAATATTTTATGTGCATCTTTCTCATTGTTCACATACACACAATTTGCTTCCTAAAACCATAATCTGTAAATCTCTCAAAGACAAAGCCCAAAACACTAATATTTCAATAAAGAACACAATGTCTTTTACTGTGCTTTACAAAACAGTCATATGAGTAAGTACCTTACATATTTCAGAATACTGTAAGAATGTTCTAGATTTGCTTTTAGATTAAAGTTGATCCTGTTTCTAAGAATTTTAGAAAAACTCTGTAATGAATTTAATTTGCTTATGTGTTGGAAAGTATGCACTGACTTTGGAGCAGATAGACCATGGTATTCTTGTACATATTAGGCATGTAAGTTCAACCTCTATAAAATCATTCTAAATGGACAAAGAGAAGAATGTTGTTTACTCTGGGGGATTATTATGACTATTCAATGAGGTGAATTCTGATTAACAAACATTTATTGATCACTCATTATGTGCTAGGATCATTTTGCCCAACACTAGGAACAGACTGAAGGCAACATTTTGTAATATAGTTCACCTTCCCTAGCACGGGAATTTAGGATCTCAGGTGGCCTGGTTTAGGGCTCAGAGAGAATAAAGAGATCAGCTTGATCAGTATCTTCACTTTTCAGATAAGTAAACAAGGCCAGGGGAGGTTAAATCAACTGAACAAAATCACAACCAAGTGAGCATTAGAGCAAGAATTACAACTTGGCCTCCCTGTCCCTAGTGTTGTATGTTCTGCTACACCCCGGCACACTATGTCTTCTCCTTGGGGGCAGTGCATGGGTGCATTGCTGTAAATAAAGACAGAACTTGGAAACATTTACCCCACACTTCCTGTTCTTTTTTTCAAATGGAATAGCATTTTACTACTGACCAGTACAACTTACTCATTTTAAACATAAAAATTAAAAAGTGAAGTCTTAAAATTCATCAATATACAGCCATTGTAACATTTTATCTATTTCTTTTGTCCCTGACTATACTAGATACATGTATCAATATAGATACAATTTTATTTATTGATCTTTTCACTGAATAAAAATAAACATCTCCTCTTTGTTACTAGAGTCTCATAAATATAATTTAAACAAGTTTATTGGTGTTTTCTATTGCAAAAGATGCTACTTGGCCCTCCCTGGTATAGCTTAGTTGGTTGGAGCATCATCCTGTAACCAAAATTAGAGGGCTTGATTCCTAGTCAGGGCATGTACCTAGGTTTTGGGTTTGATCCCCAATCTGGGCATGTATGGGAGGCAACCAATCAATACTTTTCTTTCACATGGGTATTTCTCTTTCTCTTTTCCTCTCTCCCTTCCTCTCTCTATAAAGGCAATGAAGAAAAAAATGTCCTTGGATGAGAATTAAAGAAAAAAATGATGCTACTTTGTCATACTAGAAAATTTGTAATTCAGGAAAGTAAAAAATTAGGGAAAATAAAACATCTATAGCTTCATCACCTATAAATTCAATCACTCTGTATTTTAGAATCTTGTTATATTATTTAATGATTGCCATTTTTAATCTTGACAGAGATATTTTTCATTATAACATATTTAATGATTATTTGAGATTTCTGGAGGGAATTATGGCTTGGACGGGTTGGTAGAATTCACATGTGATGGTGATTAGTAGTATTTTTCTTTCTCCTTCAAGGCATAGGGCAGAATCATACTTCATCCCCTCGGAGTCAGCTGTAGCTTTAACCAATGGAATTGACATATGTTAGGTCATATGTGGAAGACATGTAATTCAAGGAAAGGACATATGTTAGCTCCAGGTGGAAGAGCTTAAGAGCCAGTACATGGTTTGCTATGTTTCCTTCCTCCTGCCATGGGGACCTGCAAAGTACCAGATGGTGGAATCTCCATCAGCCTGAGTTTTGTGTAAGGATGATGTAGGACAGTGTCCATATCAGGTTAACAAAAATATATGACATGAGTAAGAAATTATATTTATTGTTTTAAGCCAGTGAGACTTGGGAGTTGTTTATTACTGCAGCATAACCCTAGGCTGTCCTGTCTGACGTTTGCTTGAATTTCTGAAGCATTCTACCCATCTCATGTTGAAATGGTTATAGGGTGATCTGACTTTGACACCTGCTACACCATTAGTCATCAGAAGTCATGTGATTGTACCTTCACTCCGTTCAAATTTCATATATATCCCTTCCAAAAAACTAGAGTTCAGTGGAAGAGGATAATGTCAGATAGAAGAGGATCATTTTTTTAATCAAAATGATAAAAATAACTTCACATTCTTTTAAAATCTGAAAACAAAGCAAATTTGGTTTTTATAGAGATTCATGCCCTTTGTCGAGGAGTCTGTCTGGAAAAGTTCTGTTACTTCCTATCTAAAGAACTCAAAGAATAGAATGCTTAGCACCATTTCTGGCACATAAGAGATGCTAAATATACACTTATTCAGAAAGAGAAAGAGTAAAGTAGAAGAGAAAGAAAAGACAGACAGGGAGAGGGAGAAGGAGGACAATGAGGAGGAGGCTGAGGAAAGACATATACAAGGTGTGACAAGAGTAGGTTTACAGTTGTTCACATGAAAAATAATACAACAATGAGTAAATGATAATATAAGAATAAACTTTGTGTTTTGTGTACTTACAACTGTAAACCTACTTGTTCCCCCACCCTATATATATATACACACACACACACACACATGTTATTTCTGTCAGTATAAAAATTTTCTAAATCATTAAATATTGTAATAATGATTCTAAAATACAGTGGTTGAATATATAAACACATACATACATATTTTCATTTGGAATAATTAATTTGCAGAAAGAGTGGTATATCCACAGTGGCATCACCTTAACAATGAAGAAATGCTCCCAATACCGTTGGGCCTATAAAGTCAGAAGGCCCCAGCAGCAGGACAACTTGCCCTGAAGCCGAACCTGCGGAGTTTTTTCTTGCTCTGGACATCACTCAAAACTGTGTGCTTACGTGTTACCTGCTAAATAAGCATGCTCACGTACGGTATAGGTTGCCTGCAAAATCCAAAAGGTCTTTTCTTTGTGAGAGCACATGCCAGTAGGTACAGTAACTTGTTTGTAATGTTTAGAGAGGATATGTTAACATGCCTCATACCACTGGACCCATAGACACTCACTGGTGTGCCAGGCCTCCGAACTTTCTCAGAATTCATCTTCCACCCTTCAACACACATGTGTTTTTCTAGGGCATCCAGGGTACTTGCTTCTCCCTGCTCACCAGATACAATTAGCATAATGTTATCAATGTAATGGACAAGTGTGATAATCTGTGAGATACTAAAATAAAAAATTTCCCAGTGGATTCTATTGTGACAGGAAACAGGGGAGTGATGTAGTCCTGAAATACAAAAATGATGGTATACTGGGGAACACCTTGTAAAGTATAGGATTGTCTAGCCACTATGCTGTACACCTAAAACAAATGCAAAATAATATTAAATGTAAACTGTAATTGAAAAAAATTTAGAAAGTAAAAAATAGACAAAATACACAGAATTTTAAAAAAGAAAGAAAATGATGGTATACTGTGCTCCCTGCCCTGTAAAAATAAACTACTTTTGGTTAACTATGCAAATAGGAACTGAATAAGAGCATTATTTTTTAATTTTTTTTAATTTTTAATTTTTTTATTGTTCAAGTATAGTTGTCTCCATTTTCCCACCACCACTCTCCCCCACCCCACCCACCCCCACCGCCCACCCTCAATCCTACCCCCCTTTGGCTTTGTCCATGGATCCTTTATACATGTTCCTTGATGACCCTTCCCTTTCTTTCCCCCTCCTCCCTCCCCTCTAGTTACTGTCAGTTTGTTCTTCATTTCAATGTCTCTGGTTATATTTTGCTTGCTTGTTTGTTTTACTGATTAGATTCCACTTTTAGGTGAGATCTTGTGGTATTTGTCTCTCACCGTCTGGCTCCTTCCACTGGCCACGACCAACTGGCAACCCAGTTAAGGCCATGGATTACGCCAGGACCTTGGGGCATAGAACAGAGTGTGAAAAGATGGCAAATGGATCTGAAGGAGCAATAAAGATTCTGTTCTCCAGTCAATTCCCCCTCTCCCCATTAGCATCCACTACAGCTCTTACTTTTTTTTCAGATGAAACACTAATTTCCCTAAAATATGATACACACACAAAAATTCCCATCTGCTAGCATCCTTGGGTGATATTGATTCAGTTATAACTTCACCTGAAACCTAAGACACCAGCTACCACCAGTGCTTTTCATATAAGACTGTAGTTTTATAAAAAAGAAGAAAGAAATAATCAATTACCCCGAAACACTGCTGCTATTGTTTAAAATGGATAATATCCAGCACAGTGGTATATTCCTGTGGCACCTTCACAATGGTGTGACTCATAATTGGTGTGCTCTGACTATGAGGCAATTGGGGCTCCCTGGGGGAGAATGGTGATGAGGTGTAGATGAGGCCAAGAAATAATTATACACCAGGATAGCAGGGGCAGAGGACAAACCAGAAGACTCTGAGCTAGATTGTATTCAGTATCAAGATCCAGTTTCACAGACATCAATCCTGATCAGCATGCTCTAGCCCATTTTCAGAAGAAAGTAGATTCCAGACTCATGTAAAGACCTAGTAAAAAGTAGGGTGAGGGGGTGGGTAGAACTCCAACCTGTTAAGCTGGGGTTCAGGGCCGGCTAATTCTATCTGGTAACATTACAGAAGTTTGAGCAGACTAGCCTCTTCCAGCAGTGATTAGATAGACCAGAAACAGCCAAATACTCATGTGGAACCCTGTTAATCAACAAATATTGAGTATTATTAGGTGCCAAGTATTGTCCTGAAAACTGGAGATGATGTTAAAAAAAAAAAAACAAGAAAAAGAAAAAAATCCTCATCTTTATGGACCTTAGTGAGGAAGGCGGAGTTCAGAAAATTTCGCTCAGTTAGTTAATGATTACAGTAAGACAGACTGTGGAGAGCTGTGGAGGGGGGTGGGGGGTGGAGCGGGGGAGGCGGGCAGATCTCAAACTCTGAGGTCACATAGACCTAGGTTCCAATTTTGGCTTCCCCAGTTACCAGCTGTGTGACTTTGGGCCAATTCCCCAATGCCCCTTGGCCTCAGCTTCCCCAGTTATAAAAGGAGAATAATGATAGTACCTACCTCACAGGGCTAGTGTGAGAATAAAATGAGATACACCACTACACATGGAAACTTCAGTTATTATATTGTTTTTCCATATTCACCCCTGGGACCTGAAAACACCTCACTCCTGAACTTGAATGCTCATCCTCCACTAGGACACAGGCTGCAGTTACTCTCTGGTGCTTCTCACTCAGAACAGCTTCACCTAAACACCCCCTCCAACCTCATTCTCCAGGTCACCCCAGGAAGAAGGTTAGCCTTAAGTCAGCACCTGCGGGGAGTATCAGGCAGCTTCTCTTCATGTCCCTTCCTCTCTCCTCTTTCTTTCATTTCATAAACTTTCTAATGTGGATAGTATGTTTTTTGTGTTTCTCATATTTGTGAAACAATTTTATGTAAACTCTTCTTAATTTTAAAATCACCTGAATATAATGTCACACATTTCTATCTTTGAAACCCCCCCCCCCCCCACAAAAACTAACAGCTGAAATGGCATTAAGTTACTTTGTACTAATGCTAATGTTTCTCTGTGGGCTATGGGCCTGGATGGGAATGAAAGGGTTCCCAGCCTTGGACGAGATGATCTCTCCAGGTTCCTTTAGAGAAATGAAAAGTAAGCTAATGACAAAATAATGGGCTGTACCCTTACGTGATGTACAAGATACGTGCCCAGTCTTTGTTGATAGGTCTGAGACATTGCTGGATGGTATCTCAAGAAAAAAGATTGGAGTTGTCTATATTTCTTTATGTTTAAATCTTTTCAAGGATTTATTGATTTATGTTAGTTTCTTAGTTGATTTCTGGATTCAGCAATAAGACTACTGATTAGATATGCATATTTTTAATTGTGACACTGAATGCATTTTACTATCACATTTTCCTAAGTTTTTATTTTGAAACAATTTAGATTTATAGATAAGTTACAAAGATAATACAGAATTCTTGTATATCTTTCACCCAGCTTTCCCTAATGTTATTACATTATCTATTATATTTATCAAACCTAAGAAAGCAACATTGCTATGGCATTATTAACTAAACTACAGACTTTATTTGAATTTCACCAGTTTTCCCACTTCAGCTGTTTTTCTGCTTCCAGATTTTGTAAGATACCACTTGGCATGTTGTCATCACATCTCCTTAGACTCCTCCAATCTGGGACAGCTTGTCTTCTCTTGTTTTTCATTAACTTGACAGTTTGAACACTGCCAGGTATTTCATAGAATGTCCCTCAGTTTGGGTTTGTCTGATGTTTTCTCGCAATTAGACTGGGCACATGGATTTTTTAGAATACTGCAGAGACGAAGTACCTGTCTCATTGCATCCTATCAGGGATGCTAGTCAGCCTATTACTGGAGATGGTAAACTTGTCCATGTGGTTAAAGTGGTATCGGCCAAGTTTCTCAATTGTAAAGTTAAAGTTAGTACTTCTTATCTTTTCATATTCTATTCTCTAGAAGATTATATGAAGCAGTTACTAAGTCAAGGTAATAACACTTAAGCACAGGAGAAATAAATTATACCTCCCAGGGGGAGGAGTATCAAAGAATTTGTGGACATTTTTTAAAAACCACCAAAGCACCCTGGCTGGTGTAGTTCAGTGGATTGAGCGCGGGCTGCGAATCAAAGCATTGCAGGTTCGATTCCCAGTCAGGGCACATGCCTGGGTTGCAGGCCATGGCCCCCAGCAACCGCACACTGATGTTTCTCTCTCTCTCTCTCTTTCTCTCTCCCTTCCCTCTCTAAAAATAAATAAATAAAATCTTAAAAAGCATTCAATAAGTACTTTGGGAGAAATACTTTGAGGTTATACAACTATTCTGTTTCTCCTTAAACTTTTACTCACTAATTTTAGCATTCATCCCTGAATCTTGCCCACTATGATTTGTGGTGTTCAAATGGTGGTTTTTCTATTGTTCTTATTCTGTTTAGATTTATTATTTGAAATCTTGGAATTTTTCTGTAAGGAACAGTTTTCCCTTCTCTCCTATTTATTTATTCAATCATTTATTTACATCAGCATGAACTAATAGATACTCATTTTATTCTTTGGGTTATAATCAAATGCTATTGTTATTAATTTTGTTGCTCCAATTGTTCCAAGTTTGGCCAATACAACTTTTTTTAGATTTTGGTATTATCTGTCTCTCTGCCTGTCTGTCTGCCTATCTATGTCTCTGCTGATGTCTCTGACTCCTTTAATCCACAAGGCTCATTCCAGCCTTGCCTCCACACTTACTTCCATGACTGTGAAAAACGCCACTTCCATCATGCACAAATTATGTACTTCCTTGTTCAACCCCAGTACACTTACATAGCAGTATCAGACTTGTGAGCTTGTATTCTTATGGGAAACAGTTACCAAACTGAGTAAAGTGTTTTTGTCAGTTCCTTTTGTCTTTGGTGTTATAGTTTATGGTAAAAAGCGTTGTCTTCCCAAATTGCCTACATCAGCTCTTCCCCCATTCTCATGCAGCGTTGTTAGACATTCTTCAAACAGCCAGATTCATTTGTCATGGGCAGTCTGCATTCCAACTTGGGGTTCCCTGACATCCTGGTTTATTTTTTCAAAGCTGCACGCAGTAAAGTTTGCTTTTTGTGGCATAGAGTAGTTTACTAAATGCATAAATTAATGTGCCACCACTGCAGCCCCTTTGTAGTGAACTCCTTCCCCTGCCCTAACACATCATGGTAACATTTTTGATAATAAATATCTAACTCTTAGGGTTATCAGGAATCAACTTGCCCCAAACTTTTCTATTTTGAAATTTTGGGTATTTTAAAAATGTATAAAAGTGATACATATATATTTTGTTTAATGGTAAAAAAAGGTAAAATATGAAAAACAATTCTCTGTCAGTTGTTTGCATGTGTGAATAAGTAAAGGTTTGTCTCCTTCTGTGATACTTTTTGTCCCCATCAGCATGTCCTTGTTTGGCCCAGTGTTGGACTTTTAAACCTGGAAGTTTCTCCCAGTAGCTAATGGTTCCAAGCCCCATTCTCAGAAGTCACTAGTATTGACCCTTTTATTTCACATATAAGAAAGTTGAGAATCAGATATTAAGGTTACACAGTTATTTATGATCAAACTTAAGGTGGAACTCAGACTCAAGACTCCCAGCCCATTGTCCTTTCTGCTTCTTGGTGTTTTTGTTCAAAGGCATGTAATCAGATTAATCTGCAACTCAAATATGGGTGCGTGTGAAATGGAAAACTTGCAAAATATCCATGAGGTGGTAAGCAGGCTGCTTTGACCTCAGCTGCTGCAACCGTTGATAAAGAGACATTTGTGTGTTGAGGGAGGGTGTTGATCCCGATGATTTTTATTTTCCATGTTATGCCATGGATGGCTATAAAAACCTTTCCCCTCTGGCTGTAGCAGGGGTTCAGTAGAAATTTGTAGACAAGCTCAGACACAAGGTATGAGTGAAGATTTTCTTATGGAAGTCCCTGTTGTTGGGAATTGCCCTGCCTGGTTTCAGAAGCTGTAACCCCTGCATGCCTAAGGCTGAGTGAGAGACCTTGGGACCATAAGCCACTAAGGAGACAAAGCTTATCTCCCTGGCAGGGACGCTGCCTCTGCTCCCTTTACTTCACCCTGCCTGGCCCCGAGTCCAACCGGTTAGCCAATGACAGGTAAAATTCCTCAAGGGAGGAACAACCCAAGACAGGCATGCTCATGAGGGGCCCCCAGGGAAGGACTTGGGGGACTATAGAAAAAGGGGGTGATGGACCCTTGCTCCTTGACTCTGACATAGCCTGAGTCCTCATTCAGCCTGCAAGAAGTCTCCTAATCTCTGGACTGCCTTACTCCCCCTGCCTGACTTAAGCCTGAAACAATGACAGAGGGCGGTGTAGCCCTG